GTAACCAATGGGGAAATTGAGCTATCTTTCTGTGTTCTGTTCACACAAGAGAGTAAATACTCAGAGGAAGAAGGGTGCCCAGTTATCTTCATGCTACTAGATGATTTTTAAAAATGTGTTTAGGACAATCAGTTGATTCCAGAATGTTATGGTTTATATCTGGAGATCTTCACAGAGCCTCATGGGTTCACAGGCAGGGCTTTGGGGAGGTGGTTGAATAGCTGACTTGCTGTTAGGAGATGGAGTCTGGTTGGAAGAGGCAGGTCACTGGGGGTGTGACCCGGAAGGGTTTGTCTCCCTTCCTGGCCCTTCCTTCACTCCTTCCTGGCTACCATGACCTCAACAGCTTTTCTTCCACCATGCTCCTGTCTTTCAATTTTCCTTTTGGAGTGGCCCAGCATGGATTGAAATGTGAGCCAAAATAAACCTCTTTAAGTTGTGGGTGTCCAGTGTTGTGTCTCAGCACCAAATAAATATCAAAAAGAAAAACAAAAATATGAATCACTGAAATAGAACAATAAAAAGATAATGTTGAGGAGTGAGGTGTATTTTCATATACAATTGAAACAAGCATTTTAGAAAAAAATGACAGTATTTACCCAGAAACTTTAAAATATCTACATCTTTTAAACCTATCTTTCCTCTCCTGTTCATACATTATATTGAAATCATGAGAAACGTAATCAAAGGCTTTGAACAATAACCTGTATAACAAGTTTATAGATATCAATTAGCACATCAGCAATAAACAAGAAAGATTAAATATCTTATAGCAGATTAACATCTAATAAAATAATGATTTAAAGGTTATTGAATAATTCAGGAAAGTCATATCATATTAAATCAAATTTAGATATAAAATAGCTCTGAGACTTCAATATTACAAATATTTATATATTTTAACATGTTCACAGTGAAAAGACAAAAGACTCATCAAACTATTATGTTTATACCTATAAGTGATTATATATTTTAATCTTTTATATTTTTTTGTCTTCAATTAACTTGTATAACAATCAGAAGACATGAAGAAATGTCAAGCACAGTATAAGCATCATTTCCGACTTAAGTTGGCACCCACACGTGAGAAATTAATTCTGAAATGCTCATTGTCAGGCTACAAATTAGCACAACCTTTCTGAAAAGTTTTTGGAGAATATATATATCAAGAGCTTTTAAAATGCTCAAAGCTTAGGCCAGTAATTTCACTTTTGGAATCTATTGTAAGGAAATAATCAGATGTCAAAGATGTTGTTGATTGGTAGTGCTATTAATCAAGGCCCAAAATGGAAAAGTAAATAAGTACAAAATGCCCATAAGAGGAATGATTAAATCCATTGTGGTGTATTACATGATCCAATACAGCAAGATGTTTTGTAAGAAGTTTAATTAGAAAAATGCTTTCAAAATAGTAGAGAAAAAACTGATGGTACAGATTTGTGCATGTAGTATGGATATTAACACTTGCATTTGCATGCTTTCCTATGTAATTGTACATTTACACATGCATTCCTATTGGATGTGTGTGGCACATGAATGTATACTGTATGTATACACACATACATAGATTAGATATACATAGACACATAGAGAAACAAAAGGGGGGACTAATGAAAACATTACAATATTAACAGTGATTATTATTGGAATAATAGGTGAGTTTTACCTTCTTTGTACTTTCCAATGATTTTGAGTTTTTTCCCACAGTGATTATCCTTTTATAAAAAGGAACTAAAGGCTGAAAATGATGATTATTAAATGAATATTAATGTATATATACATATATGAATACACACACCTATATATCCGTGTAGAAAGAGAGTAAGATGAGAGTTAGCTAAACTTAGTCAGGTCAGGGGTAGTGGTGCACACCTGTAACCCCGGCATTGGAGCCTGAGGCAGGAGGATAATGAGTTCAAGGCCAGCCTAGGCTAGTAAGTGTCTCAAAAATTACAAATAAAGCCTTAGTTTTGGTTTCTGTATACTAGCATAATACCTAGTATATTTCTGTGTTGATTGGGAATTTTTGGTGGTTAGAAGAAACAAAAGTAACAATTTTTTAAACATGTTGTTGGAAGGATATGGAGAGTTTGGATTCAGAGGAAGAGCGGAAGAAACCAGCATAGGAAGGGGCAGCTCCCAGAACAGCTCACTAGATCTAGGTAACAAAAACAGCTGGGAGACTTTTTAGGACACCACTTGGATGAGAATGATAAAGTCATTTATCACTGGTCTTTCTGAGTCACTCTATTTAAAATTCAAATTTCAGGGAAAGCATCTACTCGGCTGCTAGAGGATATGGGCGTGTCAGACTGGTTGCCCCACCAAGACTGCAGGCTTATGGGACAGTTCCCAGCAAAAGAAGGCTGGATACCTGCAGACAGAAACAAATCAGCTGTCTCCACCTGGACTTGAATGCATGTTATGAGAGTCAAATGCATGTGCAAGTCCTAGATCATAGCATTTGCTCAATACACTTAAAACCTAACATACATGTATGTGAGTTTGTGTCTTGTGGCACAAGAATCTGTGTATCTGTTTAGATTCACCAGAAAAAGTATTAAAATATTAGTAACATTGTTTACAATTGTCTTTCATTTTCCAATTTCAGCACAAGGGACCAGGATTGCCTTTTCAGTTCAAAGGAAACCAAATTGCTTTAAAAGAGAGCGACAGGATTCCGATGGGATTTTAGGCTCTGAACTGATCGACAAGAGAGAATGGGTAAGAGATGAAAATCTCTTGACAAGGCTCCTTAAAAAGAACTGTAGAAGGGCTGGTGATTTAGCTCAGCGGTTCAGTGGCCTGCCTTGCAAGCGCAAGGACCTGAGTTCAATCCCCGGTACGAGAAAAAAAAAAAAAAAAAAAGAATTGTAGAAGGCTCTACTTAAAGAGAAAATCTGTGCCTTACATACACAAGTGATGGAGTAAAGAAACAGCTACGAATTCTGACAGATGGCTAAGCGTGGCACCTGTCAGAGAAGTCTGGCCTGCATAGATGTGGGCCTGGACATGCAGATTCAGGGACCAACAGTTCAGCGAAGCATTCATCTCTGAGGCCAAGTGTTGGGTCCACACTCAAAGGATCCTGACCATATTTCTTAGGTGGAGCCATCCTTTCTAGTCCTCAAACAGATGTCCATCCTCCAAGTGTTGAAGAAAAAAGGAAGGGTGAAGAGAAGAAGCAGAGGGACAAGGAGGAACTGCAGCACAGACTCCATCCATCTCAGCAGCAGAGACAGAGGAGGCAGAGTGGTAGATTAGATCCATACCAGGGATTACCTTCACGTTCTGAACGACAACCTGCGAAGCGCTCTACAAGCCACAACATCCAAAGGACTGTAGCAAACTCCAGCCACTCCCAGTCTGCAGTCAGGTGCAGCAGCAGAATTTCTAGACTGACAATTTTCAGAATCTCTGGGATACTCTGGAATAATAGTGTCAGCAAAACATTTAAATAACTAGATAAAAGTAGCATTTTTCAAATACTTAAAAATAATAGGTAAAGATAGGCACTTGGTGAAGAAGAAGGAGGAGGAGGAGGGAGGAGGGAGGGAGGGCTGTACTGAGAATGTAACCAGTCTAAACTATCGATGAAACATTTACGTCTTGTAAATTTATGTCTCAGTTTAAGAAAGTCACAAGACTTATCATTTTTACACCATGTTGAAAGACACGGGCCATGGTTTGCGTTCAGTTGGTGACCTATTTTTTGCTATGTACAAAAGTACTTCTAATCCATGTAAGCAGGTTTTAAAATGAAGACCAAACAGTGACACAGAGTGGATAATCATTTAATCCACAGATGTTTGTCTATAAAAAGCAAGAATAGTCTGCCTTTATAGCATAATTTCTCAGGCTACCTCCTACTGTTTACTAGCTTGTATAAAATTAATATTTTTTAACAAAAAGATATATCTCTAGTGAATAAAGTCACATTCACAAATAGATTTAACATGTTTAATAAGTGCATAAATTCTGGATGGGTGTGATGGCATACACCTGAAATCCCAGGACTTGGGAAGCTGAGGCAGGAGGATCATTGTGAGTTTGAGGCCAGCCTGGGCTACATAATAAGTTCAAGGCCAGCCTGAACTACATAGTGAGACCCTCCCTGCCTCAGAGACAAAATTTTCTAAAGAAAACTGGGATTATGATGTTAGAAATTCTGTTTATATTTCACTATACCTTGAGAAGACTATATCTCCAAGTATTTTTACTAAATGTGTTTCTCTGAAGCCTCTACATGTAAATGAAAAATGCACTAAAGTAGCATTTTCCTAAAGACATCTATGTTACTTGCTCTCCACATGTTAGATAAATATAGCTTATGTGGAATATATTACGTATTTAAACACCAAAGTGCTAGAAGGAAGGAGTTTATCAGGTCATTTAAGGGCAGAAGAAGGGGAGGGTACTTTATCACAAGCAATAACAAAGAAGGAGAAGTGAAAATGCCAAGGACGACGTGTGAAGTGTTAATTGATGTGAGCAGTTGCAGAAAATACCTGGAAACCCAGTTATGACTATGAAAGTTTTGAAACTATCCAAATAATAAAGTGACAGTTAGTATGACTTGGAAGTATTCCCCAGATAGCCGAAAGACAAAACAAAGTAACCAAGAAATAACAATAAACAAAACTGAGCAGGGCTTAGACTTGTACAGAAAAGAAAGGAGCAGCATATTTCACTCAATTAATGGACTTGACATTATAAAATTATTTATTTATTTTGGTACCGGGGATCAAATTCAGGTCCTTGTGCTTGCGAGGTGGGCTGCAGAACCACTAAAGCTAAATCCCTGGCACCATAAAATTATTTTTTATGAGCACAACTGGTGACTACAAAGATACTTGTCCTGAAGCTATAAGCAACAGTAATAGTAGCTAAAATTTATGAAGTGTGTAATAGGTGCTGTGCTGTATTCTAAGTGTTTAATTGACGCTAATTTGTTTATCCTCAACTCTCGTGGTGAGGTAGGTGATATTTTCCATCTTTACCTTTTGGGTGAGGAGGGTGAGGCATAGAGAGGTGCCCAAGCTCAGATCACTCATAAGCTTCAAACTTGAGACAATCTTCTGGACAGGAAGAGAAGAATCCACATGAAGATAAGAGCTGATCTTTAAAGACAATCTTGAAAAACAAAATACAGCATATGCAATCCTTCTCCAATTAATGTGTTCTATATTTTTCCTTGTTACCAAAATATTTCTTCGGGCAATAAACATTCTTTTGTTCAACACTGTGAAGCAAGAAAACACATCATGCCCAGGTGAGTGAAATAGTTGCCTGTTAAGGACAATGATGGCTCTGGGACCTTGGGTGTATTAAGCTTTTGGAAATATTTTATCTAACGATGAGTTTGAACTATTATTTTTATCCAATTTTGCTAATAAACTTCAACTTATTTTTCTGAAAAAGAAGTAAACTGGCCATTTGGATTAAATATCTGGCCCACTCATGGACCTGTGTTTTGAAATGTATACTTTCTTTTTATTTTGGGTTTAACTGCCACATTCTTGATAGATGGATATAGATCACTTAGGAATAACAGAAATGCATACTTTTTACCTTTAAAAGTTCAGCACATATAGTCTAAGAATAGATTGTCCAATAATCACATGTGCTCATCTCATTGGAGATATTTTATTTATCATCTGATATACTGTCTTTATTTCAGTTTACCTAATTGTCCCCAATTCATTTCTTTTGCTTCCTCCCCTTGATCAAAAATCAAAGAATCAAAACATGATATTTATTGTCATTTTGCTTTAGTCTCCTGTAATCTGTCAGTTCCTCAGCCTCTGTACGTGTACATGAATGTGTGTATGTGTGTGTGCATGTATATGCATGGTATTTCATGACATGACAGCAACACTTTTGAAGACTCTAGCCTAGTAGATATGTCGGATTGTTTCTTCATGCTCTTAGTTTAATTACTTGGAGTAGCAATTGTATTGTGGGCACATTGGAGGAACTGGATTATCTATTCACTGGGGAAAATAAATTTTATAATTTGGTGAGAATGGTTTCCACCAGATCTCTCCATTGTAAAGGTGTTTTTCCTATTGCAAATAATGGCAAACCTGATATTTAGTAATTGTATTGCTTGTCAAATACCCACTGCTTTCAACATCCATTGATAATCATTGCTAGAATAAAACTTTCCTATGGTGACTGTAAAAAAATGGCTTGTATTTCCACTGTCCCTTCTACAGGTGTTAGTTGAATCAATACTGCAAAAAAGAATTTTATCCTTTCTCCACATCTGCTTTTAAATATTTTACCATGTGTATATGGACTTGTGTATGAGTCATAAATGTCACCTGCCTCATGCATATGCTATTGCCCACTCCTGTCATTACTCTTTATCAGTCTCTCCCAGGATCAGCTCATGTGAACCCCTTCACGGTGGCTTCTGCACCCTTTTTGTGCACTTCTGTTGTTTTTCTGAGTGCTCTGTACTGCCTGGCACAAGTCATCCTGGACTCCCTTAGTTCACTCCCTGGCCCAATCCTGAAATCAGTCATTTCTCCAAGGAGCCCTGGTTCCATATTGTAGAGACTTGTGTTTTAGCAAGTCTGGATTTCTACGATCAAAACAGTCTCCATTTCATAATTAGAATTTTATTCCTTGTACATTATATTTGTGGTCTCTTGTTAAAATAGGATTATCCCTGTAAACAGCAGAATACTAAAGCTAGTAGTCATTTATATCTTAGAGTAAAGTACTTGTCAGCTTTCTTATTTAATAAGGGGTAGAAATGTGACAGAATTAGATGCTTGATACCTAGCAGTAAGAGAGCTGAGAGTGATTCATGGAGGAGGAGATAAAGTTAACATCAGTCTTTTCGATTTCGAGAACCATCCCATACACAGTTTACACAAACAATCACAAGAGTCTCATTCTGCACACAAGAAAGTCCTCATCTGTGTCTTCTATCACTCCACGAGTGGAATCTTGCAGCCATGTAAGCAGATCAAGGTGCTGAGAAGACAAGCTTCACCCCTTTTCAGTTTGAAAAATGGCCAACTTTGGTCGTATTGCTATTTTACTTAACGTTGTTCGCTGTGACCTGCATACACAGCCACTTTCCAACCATAGTACAGAATAGGGTTCAAATGTTTCTCTCTATTGCTCAGAAAATCTAGATGAGACAATTTCCTAACTCATTTTCTTTCAGTGGTGATTCAAAAAGAACATATAGACATCTCAAACAGAATGCTCTCTTGGTTGGATTCTTCATAACAAATCCTATTGCCAGAAATGAGTGCTAGTGGTGGGAAAGCTTGTTTCAGGCTTGTAAAGAGACAATCGAAGCAAGTTACCCGAGGAGCAGTGCTGGGTACAATGTTCAGAAGAGCATGTTTTTCTCCACCCTCTGTTATTCCATTGGTCAACTTCCTGAACGCTCTTAGTTCTCAGTTTTCTCACTGTAAATGGAGATAACAACTTGCCTGGCTGAATAAACAGGGGAGGATAGTATTGCTGACCACAAATTATGTATTTTCTATTGTAGATAATTTCCTTTGACATTAGGAATGTGGAGAAATATAAGAGAGCATTTCTACCTTTTCTATGCTTAACATTTAATAGGGGTTGTAGGACGTGAATATAAAAATGCAAATAAATGTCACAGAGACATATTTGTAACACATTGCAGATTATAAAAGAGCAAAGCACTGATCACTGCATGTATAGAAATAATTGTGTGGCTTTTCTTCTACTTTCATTAACATGGTGTTATAGATCAATGAATGCTTCCTGTATTTCAAACCACCCTTGCATTCCTGGAAAGATCCCACTCAATCGTAGGAAATAATTTTTGCAATATGCTGCTGGATTTTGTTTATTAGCATTTCACTGAGGATATCTGCATCAATATTCTTAAGCAATATTGGTTTACTTTTATTGCAGTGTGTTTGTCTGACATTAGTATTAGGATGATATGGCCTTACAGAAAAAATAGAAGGTATTTCTTTTTCTTGGAAGGTATTTCTTTTTCTGTTTTTTTGGAAGAAGATTAATGTTCTTAAACAATTGGTAGGCTTCACCATTGAAGTCATATAGTACTGGACTTTTCTTTGTTGGGAAGTTTTGATTACTGACTTGATCTTAATTTTTTTAAGCCTTCTAAGTTTTTCTTCATGAAACTGTTTTCATAGTTTGTGTGTATAGTTTGTGGTTCTTGAACTTGTTAGTTTCACCTAGGTTATATAATTCTTTTTTATACAAATGTTCATAGCATTCTCCTATTTTCATTTTGTAAAATTGATAATGAGGCCCCACTTTTATTTTTTATTTTAGTGACTTGAATTAATGTTTCTTCTTAATTAAGCTAAATGTGTAGCATTTTTTTAACTAGTTAGTATTTGGTTTTATTTCTATTGTTTTTCTAGTCTTTTCCATTTACCTTTGCTCAAATCATTATTATTTTTCTCCTGCTTCTGCTTCAAAACTTGCTTTTCCTTTGCTAGTTACTCAGGAAAATTAGCTTATTGACATAAGGTTCCTCTTTTTTAATGTAGGAATTAGGGCTGTAAATGTCTCTCTGAGCAGAGTTCTCACTGTATCACATATTCCTATAAAAGTAGGAAGAGGAAGCAACTCTTTCTAAACATGGTAAGGTCCACCTGTGAAAAATCCTGCAGCTGACATATTCAACGTGAAAGACCAAAAGTTTTCCCTCAAGACCAGGAACAAGACAAGAATTCCCACTCTAGCCTCGTCAATTCAGCAGTGTACTAGAAGTTCTAAAGTTCTAGGCAGGACAACAAAGAAGAGAGAGAAAAGGAAGGAAGAAAGGCAAGAAAGAAAGAAGGAAGGAAGGATGAAAGGAAGGATGGAAGGAAGGAAAGGAAAGAAAGGAAAAGTAAGAAAAAAAGAAAAGAAGTAAAACTCCTCCAAATTGGAAAGCAAGAAGTGAAATGCTCTCTATTCCCACGTGACATGATTACATGTAATTTGTCTGACGTTTATCCATCATAAAAGTATTGATGCTAATAAAAGAATTTAGCAAAGTTGCTGGCTGTAAAATCAACATTAAAAGAGATTTTATTTCTATGTATAAGCAAAGAGCAATCTGGAAAATAAATTAATAAAACAATTACACTTAAAATATAAAAAATAATTCAACACTTAAAAGATATTTAGCTATGGAGTGATAAGACTTGTATATATTTATCTAAATTGCTTAAATAAATTGAAGAGCTAAATAAATAGAAAAAAATCCATTTTCACATATTAAAGTATTACTATTTGGATGCCAAAACTCTCCAAATTTGCCTACTGACTCAGTAAGCTCTCATCAAATTCTGCCTTTTTAAACAAATGGAGAGGCTCATTCTGAAATTCCTATGAAATAGCAAGAGATTTAGGACCCAAAATCCTGAAAAAGAAAAACAAAGTTGACATACTCACACTTCCATGCTTCATAATTTACTCTTAAAACACTACAATTATGCAAATGGTGTGATATTAGAGTAAAGAAACATATCGATCAGTGGAATTTAATTGCAAGTCCAGAAATAAATCTATGAGTATTGTATTGTTAACAGGATGTCAAGACCATTCATTCGGTAGAAAACAATCTTTTAAACAAAAAAGAAAAAAAGTGAGAAAATGAAAAAATGGAAATAAAGTATCTGTAAATAGGGAAGGGAGGAGGGGGTGAAGAGAGGGCAGGTGTAAGGGGAAAAATGAGAACCAAGACCTGGCATGTAAAGGTACAAGATCCCAATGATGAATGTAACTGTACTGTATACCTAAAATGTACCAATAAACTCAATGAGAGAGAGAGAAAAAAAAATACAATGATCCCAACTATGTAATTCCAATGAAACATGAGAAACTATGGAAATAAAATGTCAAAAACTCAACTTAAAATATCAAAAAAATAAAGAAATTGTGCTGGGAAAACTGGATATCCACAGACAAAAGAATGAATCTGGATTTCTACTCACTTACAAAAAATCTAAAATAGATAAAAAATTGTATGTGAGTTTTAAAAGTATACAATTCTTGGAATTAAGCATAGGTATCAATCTTCATAACCTTGAATTAGTCAACAATTTCTTAA